CTGCTCCTGCTGCTGCTGCTGTTGCTGCTGCTGCTGCTGTTGTGCCCTCTCAAACCGCTCACGCTCCTCCCTCTCCAACCGGAGGAGACACTGCTCACGGGTCAGGAAACGTACAGTGCGCGGTGTAGGCGTCACAGTGCCAGTGCCTCCAGCTCCTGCACCCTCAGAACCAGCACCTCCACCACCGACACCCCCGGGGCCTCCAGTACCTCCCGCAGGAACACCCCCAGGCTCCGCAGCAACCGGCCGCAGAGAAGAACGAGGAGGATACTGCGAGTCGGACGGGAAGCCAAGGGGTGACGCGGGGCGAGGCCGCCGACTCGAGGCTGCCGTGTCCTCCACAGGAGTGACCTCCACGCCCACAACCCCTGCACCCCCAGAGCCGACACCACCAGCTCCTGCAGCCCCAGTACCCTCACCCTCCGCATCTGCACCTCCCGCACCCCCAGACACGACAGGGACTGGACTCTGCGGAGGGGACGACTGCGGAGTGACGTGCGACACACCTGATGGGGCAGGACGCGAAGGGGGGGGGGGCTACCGGGGCGACTGGGGGGGGCTCAAGGGTGAGGAACAGCGGGGGGGGAAAGGCCTCAGTACCTCGGTGAGGGCGACTCCTGTAGTAACAGACAGACTCGTCGAACGTGACGTCCTGAGAAGCGAAGAACTGGTAGGTGACCGAGTCGTAGAACACCCAGCCAGAGGCGTCCAAAGGGAAGCCAAGAAAGATGCAGGCACGAGTGAGACAACTTGTTCGCGCCAGGGGCGCGAACGTGAGCCAGAGAATCCTAGACACGGAAGTCAGCTGCTACGCCCGGAGAACCTGTCATAAGGGAGACCAGCATCACCCGTGGCCGTGCGTCACTAGGCCACAGGTTCAGCTGGTGTGCGGCGTAGCGGACTGCGTGAGGCCACAAGAACTGAGGGGCACCGGCATGGCACATGGAGGTCCGGGCAACCTCCATGACCAGGCCGATGCGTCGCTTGGCTACCCCGTTCTGCTGCGGCGAGGCTGGTAGCGTGTAAGACTGGATGATCCCTCGACCCTGACAGAACGTCTCCAGGCGAGTGGAAGAAAACTCACCACCACGGTCCGAGTGTAGGCGAAGCCCACACAGGCCCTGGGCGCCACCCCACGCTAGTAGCCACGGCTCGAGGGCGGTAGGCACGTCGGCCTTCCGTCGTAAGGGGAAAACCGTGGTGTAGCGGGAGTATTCATCCACCACAATCAGGAAGTAGCGCTCCTGACGTGGCCCAAGGACCGGGGAGGGGCCCAAGACGTCCAAGTGCAGGGTCTGGAAGGGAGCAGTGGTGGGGGGGAACGAGGAGGAGTGAGGGGCAGCGCGCTGCCGACCCTCGACGCAAGGAGTGCACAGCGGCGCAGGCGAGCGGGGAAGCGGTGCAAGCGACTCTGGGAGACCTGAGACCAGACGGTAACGTGCCATCCTACTGAGACGCGGGAACGACGGGTGACCTAGACGGTGGTGCCAGAGGACCGACGGGTGGGTGAGGGAGTGACAGTCGCACCCACCCCTCTCGGTCCCCACCCATCCATGCCCTACATCTCTTTCTTTCCCCACCACGTCAATCTCTAATCCACCTCCCTCCTAACCCATCCATCTGCAATGTCTCTGTTCCCGTCAGATTGCCTCTGGCATTTTCATTACCTCCTCGTAGGTTTGACACCATTGGCGTCACCTTAAGCTCTTTATTTCCCCTCTCCTCCCAAACCTTTCCTCTCATCTCCTCTTCTCTCCTCTCCTCCTCTTCTCTCCTCTCTTCTCATCTCCTCTCCTTTTCTTACCCTCAACTCCTTCGATGCACTCACTATTTCGTTCTTCCCATTCTCTCTCGTCCCTATTTCCCTCTCTCTCCACCCTCTCCGTCCCTCCTTCCCTCTCCTTCAACTGCCGCCACTGCCTCCGCCATCGCTGCTGCTACTACTGCTGCCTGTTGTCAGGGACCTGAGTGGCAACCACCTCAGCAAAGAGGTTTTTGTAGACTTCACAGGCCTTGTCAAGCTCACAGTCCTGTATGCCATCCCATTCCCTCCTCCTCTCGTACTCGCTCTGCGCTTCTAATACCTGTCCTCTACCACACTCCGTCTGCATTGCATGGTGCACTTTCTCCCCTTGAGGCGCCTCAAAAACTGCACACGGTGCACTTCCTCCCCTGCTGCACCCTGAATAGGCGTGCTTGACTTTCTCCCAGTCTCTCTTCTGCCTTGCATTCTTCTTCTCATTTTCACCCCTTTTTCCACCCGCAACTTACATCCCCTTTCTTCCCCTCATCCCTCAGTAACACTCCCTTGCTCCTTGATACCCTTCCTCTTTAATCCCCCATTTTCTCTAATTCCCCTTTTCTTCAATCCCCCTCTTCTCCCCAATCCCCCGCCCTGCCGCCAGCAACTTGCGGGACAACCACCTCACAGGGCGTCTACCCAAACCTCCCCCCAACATCCTCCAGTACCAGCTCGACAATAACTTCTTCGCATATCCCTTCTACTCCCCGCCCAACTGCTCCGTCATCTCCATCCGCGGCAACTGTGTCCCCCTGTCCAACCTCTCACTCACCTGCCCGGGCGACAAGCAGAGGCATCCAGAGGTCTGCTCGTCCTTCTGCGGCCTATCGGCCTCAAAAGCTCCCTGCAATGACCGCGGGATATGCCTTCTTGAGGGCCCCAGCAAAGTTCCGGTGTGCGAGTGCCACGGTGGTAAGGTGACCGGGGAGTATCGGGGTAGTTGCGTGCCTGCGGTGGGTGGGTCGGCGCTGGTAACACACCAGCCTGTGGAGGTGTCGTCTGCGTTGACCACATCTGGCAGTGCGAGTGTGGACGGTGCGACCAAGTCCTTCACTCTCACGCCCCTTCAGGCGGGCGCGAGTGGAGCCGTGTTTCTCTCGGAGCGAGTGCCGCTCTTCTCCTACCAGCTCATTGCTGACGGGTGTGGTCGCGAGCTCGCCTTCTCCTCCTCCTTCTCCTTCAATCTCACCCGTGCGTCTGCCACCGCGAGCGGGACCGAGGGGTTTGCCTTTGTGATAGCGTTTGATGCCACAGCTCCTGCAGAGGTGGTGGCAGGTGGCATGGGGTACGCGGGGATGGCCGCGCGCAGCGTGGCAGTGGAGTTTGACACGTGGCAGGATGGGGGGAGCGGCGGCAGCGGCGGCAGCAGCGGCGGCGAACCTGGCGGGAACCACGTGGGAGTGAACGTGGACGGCAGGTCTGTAGCCACAGCTGCCGCCCCCACTCCACTCAACGACGGCACTCCAAAGTACGCCTGGATCGAATACGACCCCTCCGCTCCTCCTGATGCCGCTGCTCCTACAGCTACGGCTGCTGCTGCCTCTGCCGCTGCCGGTTCGCTGCGCGTCCTCCTCTCCTCCCGCCCCTCCCCACGCCCGGCCAAGCCCGTCCTGTCAGTGCGTGTCTCCCTGTGCGACATTCTCCAGCCCACCCACCTCGAGAACAAGTTTGCGGTGGGCTTCACTGCGGCATCGGGCAGCCAGGCGCAGAGGCACGCCGTCTCGGCATGGAACTTCACCACGCGTGAGTGTATCAATGCCACATGGGCTCAGGTTTGAGGAGCCTCAGAAATTGTGGTGTGAGAGACAACTTCTGAGGTGCCTCAAGAGGTATGCCATCTCGGCATGGAACTTCACCACGCCGCGTTAGTGTGGGTGTGTCGAATGGGCAGCAGCATGCGTTTTTTAGTCTCTCATGCTGCCTGCCCTGCACAGACAGCTCATGCTACTTTCCTCCCTCCTTTCTCCATCTTTTCCCATCCGTCCTTTATTCTGCTGCTTCTGTAGCTCAAGCTGCTCTCTGTTGCTGCTACTTGTATCCGTCACTAAGCATCTCGCTTTCCGTGCGCTTTTTTTCCTAGTCAATCTCACCCCCTCCCCTCCCCTCCCTTCCCCTCTCCTCCCCTCCTTCCTCCCTCCTGCACCTTGCAGGCTTCCCACAGTCACCCACTAAGCGTGGTGGTAAGTCCCCTTTCCAACATGCACACTCGCACATGCATCCCATCTTACCTTTGCAAAACCAATAGCATTTCTGTTGCTCACTCTCTCCCACTTTCAAAAAATTCCTTCATTGTGATGCCGCGGGCCTAGTGACATAAGGCTAGGGGGGGTAATAACGACTGCGCGCTTTGTCTCTCTCTTTCACTTGCAACCCCTCTTGCTTCTGCCCTCTCCTTCCATCACTCAAGTCACAAGGTCTCAGCATCCACTTTCCCTCACCGAAACCTCACATCACATCACAGCGGCGTCACTAGGCCTGCGGGTGAGCGAGGCGGCCATCAGCCCGGCAGCGTCTGGCATGAACCTGCTCTTCCGCTACGCCAGCTCTGGCATCCTGCCGCCGCCGCAGGAGGGCAACGACCACAGGAACCAGTACGACGTGCGTGTCACCTCCACGTGGCTCCTCCAGGACCTCTTCTGGCCCGTCAAGACGCAGACTGCCTGCGGTGCGTGCCCAAACCAAACGCCTGAGTCTGAGTCTTTGAGGCAAATGCTTGAGCCTCCGAAGAATTCAGTTTCGGAAAAGAGGACCCCAGACATGTTCCTTTTTTCTTTGTGTGCTAGCTTTGTGTGTTCGTCGCCCTCCATTAGCTCCGCTTACCTCCCTTAAGCGCTGACCTCACTTGCCTCTTCTCGGCCTGCATGTGCCCGCCTCTCTCCCTCTCTCCTCTCACACCACGTTCTCTCCTTCTCTCCTCTTACACCAATTTTTTGTCGGATGAAAAGTTACAAACATACAAGTTATATCCTCTGTACGAAATTACCTAGTTTAGCCTATAACTATACATATAAAACTACATATAGTTATATAAGTTTGACACAACTCGTAGGCTAGACAAAGGGTAGTCTCTGACCAACAACAACAAGCAAACTCGGAGTGGCACTACCAGTCCAACCTCTGAAAAAAAACAAGGTTACAAGGCCAGTTAAAATGTTCTCCCCCTCCTTCTCTCCCTCTCCGCCTCTCCATCCACCCCCAGGTGACAGCTGGGCGTATGCGGTGGTGGGCAGCATAGAGGCGGCCTACAGCATAATGGCGAACCTCTCGGTGGCGCCGCAGCTGTCAGCGCTGCAGCTGCGCTCCTCCATGCGCGCCGACTGCCAGGGCGGCTCGCCCTCCCAGGCCTTCGCCTTCCTCCTCAAAGCCGCCCGCAGCAAGGCAGTGGTCCGGGGGAGGAATGTCACTGTGAATCAACAGGAGAGGCGACTTCTTTGGAGGCATCTCAACGACGGTGGGGGCCACAGCAAGGCGTTGGTTTGGAGGGGGGAAACTGCGAACACGAAGCAGGTGAGGAGTCGGCTGTGCATGGCTCCGTTTGTTCCGCTGTTCAAGCTGCTTGGGATTAGCTGCGATGGGAAGGGTGCCACTAAGGTATGCCTGCCTGGTTACGTGGTTTCTCCCTCTGCTCCTCTCCTCGCCCACCGCTGTCCTCCGCCATCCTTTTCATTCTGTTCTCTCTCCTTTCCTCCCTTCCTTTCTCCATTACTCAAAATGGGCAGCAGCTGCCATTGTGGCGTGCTTACCTCTGTCCGTCTATCCATCTGCTAATCGTCCATCACTCTCCCTGCATGTCATGGTTAATCCATTATCCCTCCCGGCGATAACAGCAGCAGGCACTGACAGGTGACTTCTACATCACCGGATTCGAGTCCACGGCCCTCTACGGCTGGTTCGGCTTGCTGCTCGCAGTGCAGCGCCAGCCCGTGGTGGTGCAAATAGAGGCAACGGCACCGTCTTTTCAAGAATACGATGGGGTGGGTGAGCGGGCGGGCGAGTACGGCTGATTCGATAATCGATTCGTTTCGTTTCCGTTTTGGTTCTTTTTTTTAGTCTCTCCCAGCTTGCCACTTTCCTCCAACGGCTTTTTTGTTTCTGTTGCCCGTAAAGGAACGTTCCCACCCTTTTGACTATTCACAGCCATGAACCCCCCCCCCCCCCCGAACCCCCCTGCACTCCTCAGCTGTCCAAGTACCAGGACCCAGCGTGCTTCACGTACAACCTGAACCACGTGGTGCTGCTGGTGGGGTACCGCCTGGTGGGGAAGGACTCGCGCTTCCCCCACATGGCGCCGCCCTTCTGGATTATCCGCAACTCGTGGGGAGCTGCCTGGGGCGATGGGGGCCACATGCGCATGGACATCCAGGGGGGGGATGGCGTGTGCGGCATCAACACTCTGCCGGGGATTTACCCAATTGTCAGAGGTCAGTTTGCTTAGCAGGTGACCGCATGTGTGTGCGCGTGTGCGTGTGTGTGCGCGTGTGCGTGTGTGCGCTCGCATTGTTGAACAATCCACGTTTCCTTACGTTCTCTCGTCTTCCTTCTCCATTGTTCGTTTGTGCCGGAATATAGAAACACATTACGATTGGCAAAAGAAGCGCTTCATATTCTCCTTTCCTCTCATCTCATCATTCATCCTTCTTCGTGTCCCCTCCACTACTGCACTTTCTCCCCCGTCTCCCCCATCTCCCCCAACACCTCCTCCCCCATCCCCAGCGGCATCGGACCCATGCAACACAGCAGCGAGGAGCGATGCCTCGGGGTCGCTCTTCAACCCGTGCGGCAGCTTCGCCTGTGTGGTGGACGGCAGCTCCAACCGCTGCCTCTGCACCGATCCCCGGTTCATTGAAGCCACCAATGCTGATGGCTCCCGCACCTGCGCCTATGGTGGGTGTTGGCTTACGTCTCCCATCTCCCACCCCTCTCATCTTCCATCTCCCATTTCCTATGTCTCGTCTCTGTCTCGAGCCGTGCGTCTGCTGTTGCTCTGTGTTGTGGTGTAGCAAATCGCACAAGAGCGCTGTAGGCTCATCTCATTGTTACAGCAATCCATTCAGTCCATTCGCACTGCAGTGGACGCGTGCTCACCATCCATTCATCATTCGTCTGCTCATTAAGCATTGCTTTGATCCAATCGATTTTGATCCATTCTGCCCCGGATCCATCCGCGCTGCAGTGGACATGTGTGGGGCGTTGGCCCGCAACCCGTGTGCGGTGGGCACGTGTGTGAATGACGGGGCGGGGTCGTACTCGTGTGTGTGTCCACCGGGCTTCAGGCAGGGCACCACCGTCGATGGCACCTTCTCCTGTGCTCCAGGTACCTTCTCCTGTGCTTCAAGTGATTTCCCCTCTTTTCCAGCTACCCTCTCTGACTCCACATTTTGATAAACTGGATGTTTGTAGACAGCAAGATTTCTCGTCTATCGTGTTCACTCGGCCTTTACGGCGCCTAAATTTAACTCCCCCCCCCCCCAATAAAAGGAACCAAATACTGCGGTCGTGCTGTGCGACGCCCTACAAGCGACAATCGCTCACAGTACATAGTCCTGACACGACACCCAACATCACCTGCTCAGATTATATTTATCTACTCTACGGCCTCACCCAAAACAAACTTCTCTGCGCTCATTGTCCTGTGCCACGTGCTCTGCTGCGTAACACTCGCCCCTGCAGGAGACACGCGCTCGCAGTACACTGTCCTGGCGCCCAACATCTTCTGCTCAGACATCTATCCCGTCTATGGCCTCACCCGTGACAACTTCACTACGCTTAATGTGAGTCAACGGCAGGCACGGTGCCGCTGCCGCTGCTACCGCCGCCGCTGCCGCCGCCGCCGCCGCCGCCGCTGCTGCTGCTGTGTACCCTGCATGTGATGCCGTGCATGTGATGCCCTGCATGTGATGCCCTGCATGTGATGCCGTGCATGTGATGCCCTGCATGTGATGCCCTGCATGTGATGCCCTGCATGTGATGCCCTGCATGTGATGCCCTGCATGTGATGCCGTGCATGTGATGCCCTGCATGTGATGCCCTGCATGTGATGCCGTGCATGTGACGCCCTGCATGTGATGCCCTGCATGTGATGCCCTGCATGTGATGCCGTGCATGTGATGCCCTGCATGTGATGCCCTGCATGTGATGCCCTGCATGTGATGCCCTGCATGTGATGCCCTGCATGTGATGCCCTGCATGTGATGCCGTGCATGTGATGCCCTGCATGTGATGCCGTGCATGTGATGCCCTGCATGTGATGCCGTGCATGTGATGCCCTGCATGTGATGCCGTGCATGTGATGCCGTGCATGTGATGCCCTGCATGTGATGCCCTGCATGTGATGCCGTGCATGTGATGCCCTGCATATGATGCCGTGCATGTGATGCCGTGCATGTGATGCCCTGCATGTGATGCCCTGCATGTGATGCCCTGCATGTGATGCCGTGCATGTGATGCCCTGCATGTGATGCCCTGCATGTGATGCCCTGCATGTGATGCCGTGCATGTGATGCCCTGCATATGATGCCCTGCATGTGATGCCGTGCATGTGATGCCCTGCATGTGATGCCCTGCATGTGATGCCCTGCATGTGATGCCCTGCATGTGATGCCCTGCATATGATGTGTCGCTTTGGTTCATTTTTAAGTCTGCACGTTCCCCATCTCATCAATCTCTCCATCTGCTCAGCCTCCATCTGCTCAGCCTCCATCTGCTCAGCCTCCATCTGCTCAGCCTCCATCTGCTCAGCCTCCAGTGCTCAGTCTCTGACATGTCAAAAGCTCTCTACTCCCTCCCCACCCTCCCCCCTGTATCACTGCAGCCCGCTGTGAACTGTCTACTGCCCCCAGTAGGCTGGTACTCACTGTCATGCCCAAGCCCAAACTCGCCTTTGTGAAGTGCCTAAAGAATTTCTCTCTCAACCACCCCCACAACTCCGCCCCTCATGTACCGGTGCAGCCCATTGTGAACTGCATCGAGCCTCTGCCGGTCGGCCTGACGCTCAATGTCACCCTCAACCCCGGACTCGCCCCCTGCACCGTCTACTACACCACTGTCCCGGTAGGCAACGAGGTTGCAACAAGGTGACTTTTGAGTTGACTTCAAAGTCAACTGCATCGAGCCCCTGCCTGTAGGCCTGGTGCTCACTGTCATGCCCAAGACTGGACTTGCCCCCTGCTCCATCTACTACACTACTGGCCGAGTAGGCAGCGTTGTGTTGGGCTTTAAGTCGACTGTAAGGTCGTTTGCTCCACTGAAAGAATGTGATTTCGGGATTCCGAACGCCATATGAGTTGACTCAAGAGGTGCGTTGATGGTTTTCCCGGCGCCAGTGACATGGCGGTTGCAGGGTGGGACGTGTGGTGGTTGCAGGGTGGGACGTGTGGTGGTTGCAGGTGGGACGTGTGGTGGTTGCAGGTGGGACGTGTGGTGGTTGCAGGGTGGGACGTGTGGTGGTTGGAGGGCGGGTTCGTGTGGCTGCTCGTCGTGATCTCTCTTTTTTCTTTTTTTGTTGTGGTTCTTTTCACCTGGAACCGTGCTCTTGGATTCCTTCCGTCCTTTTATATGCACCAGCTGCCTCAGTCCCCCCCTAAGCTGTCTGATTCTCTGCCGTTAACTTACCACCTGCTTGCATGTCTCTCTTTCTCTCTCCCTCTCTCCCTCCCCGGCCTGTCCTCTCCCACCGCCCCTCTCCCATCCCGTCCACCACCATCGGCTCCTTCCCCTGAATGAAACCCCCATCGCACCAGGACGACACGTGCCAGTCCATAGGAGAGTACTTCAACCTCAACGACTGTCGCAGCAAGGACCCCTCCTGCGCCACAGTCGTGCAGAGCCTCAACCCGGGCCTCAGCTGTCAGGGCAGCACGCAGGTGCAGCCGAACCAGGCGGTGTGTGTGGAGCGGCGGGCAGGGGCGGCGGGGAATGCGGGGCAGGTGATACCGGTGTGCTCGCAGTACTACCTGGTGCAGACCGCCGAGACGTGCGATGATATCCGCTCCGTGCCCAACCCGCCGCTCTCCCCGCTCGAATTCTTCCGCCTCAACCCCGGCATCAAGTGCGACCGCCTTGTGCCCGACGCTGCTGGCCTCGACCTGCACACCGGCTTTGAGGTACGGATGGGAGAGGCGCTTGATCTTAAAGGCAGGTTACAGGCAGACTAGACTGTCTATGAACTGGTGCTGGCCTGGACCTGCACTGGGGCTTTGAGGTACGCATGAGAGGGACCGCTTTGGGACGTGTTAAAGTGGGTACGAATGAGAGGGATCGTTTTGAGGTACAAGTGGGTCTGCGATGAACCCTCTGTGCTGCAGTATTGATGGCCTTGCTGTGTTGCAGCAAGTCCCTGAAGCAGTGCTGCATGGCCTGACCTCACATCGTGCATGCCCAGCTCAGCGCAGCACAGTGCATCGCCTGCTTTCTCCTTCCCCTCGCGTTGACTCACTTCCTCGTTACATGTACCTGCCTCTCATCCCATCCCATACCAGGCGAGCACTCTGGGGATCTTTGAGTCGCCTCAACAATCGCCCCGTCACACACCAACTGACTCTTCCCCCTCGCACACTCGCGTTCTCCTCTTGTGCCTCTCATCCCATCCCATCCCATTCCATCCCATCCCATCCCATCTCATCCCATCCCATCCCATCCCATCCCATCGCAGGCGTGCATACAGGTGTCGGGTGAGTACACGGTGGGGATCTGCCCAAAGGGCCAAGCGCTCACAGCAAGTGGGAGCGACCGCTGCAGCTTCATCCTGATGAAATACTTCAGAGGCATTCGAGGATGCTACAAGAGCATCAATGGATTCGAGTGTGTCGATGAAATACCCGCAGGCGCCAATATTTGTCTGCCAGACCAAACCAGGTTTCGCCAAGGAATCTGTACGATTTAAGCAGAGGTGTGCTGTATTGCTGTAGTTTTTGTTTGTAGTATCTTGTAGCCCTAGCAGAGCCAGGCATTTCAATAATAGAGTCTTTATTTAGTTGCACATACCGTCATTCATCACATATACAACCTATATGTCTTATCTCGTACACGGGCAGAAATGCTTGGGTTGTCTTGTACTTGGGACAGGGCCTCAGATATCAGGAAAAAAACCCTGAAATTCCTGATTTTGGCAGTCCTTTTTTTACCTACCCTGAAAAGTCAGTGTTGAGATTTTTTAGGGACTGATCTTTCAGCCTGTTTTGTTAGGCCACACTGAAATTTCAGACTTTTTCCCCCTAGGACACTGATGCCACAACGTTGTAACGAAACCAACACTGAAGCAATTCTTACCTGTGCCATGTGGATTTGACCGCAATTACAGGGAATCTCAGATTCCCGATGTGTAAGCACCCTGTGGCGAGGCCAACCTGTGAAATTCTGCCTCTGGTTCATGTTCAGAGGTGTTTTGTTGGCGCGGCGCCTCACACCATTGGGCCGTTTTGCTGCAGCAGTCAGTCTTGGCCAATCCGAACGCGGCCACCATGTGGTGCTGGAGAGCTGCCAAGGATCCTGCCCCATTGCCATCACATGCGACGCGTTAGTGACTGCCTTTTTACTAGTGCTACACTGATGCATCAGTCTTTTTACAAACGCAACACTGACATTTCAGGTTTTTTTTTTTTTTTTTGGAACACTGTCAATCAGAGTTTACACACAGGGGGACCCTGATGGGTTGACGACCGTAAAACTGAATCTGAGGGCCTGACTTGGGACCAGGGCTTACGTTTGAATTTTGGCTACTCACGAGCAGCAATGTGGCTGTTTCAATAACCCTTCTGAGTAGTGTGTATTTTTTCATTACACTGATGGATCACTGTAAGCATGAGTTTCGGAAATTATACCCTGAAACAGCGGTGTGAGTTTTCGCGGTGATAGCAAGGGATAAGGGCGGGTCAAACTTTGCACATGTACGGTTAATTTTCAGCTCAGTTACCAAAATTAAGCATGTAACAGAACTTTTAACGTACAAAATTTGCTTGACGCGAGAGTGTACATAAATGAGCTCATTTCGGAAACGTGCCCTGGGACGTGCGGAACACATCCGAAGGTCCGTCTCCCAAATCGCTTCCCGTCAAAGTTGTCAAACAGTAACGCCCGTTTTCGCCAAAACCCTTTCGCTAGTGCATTATTTCCTTCGCCTTAGATGCGGAAACCCTCGCAACATTTGGTAACTCTCCTTCCCATGTACTGTACCTCGCAACGCTACTGTACCTCGTCAAAAGTAAGCACTGTACACTCCGAACTGGACAGGAAACGTTAGGAGTACGCCCTGGGGTACTGTCAAATTTGACAAGTGTGTTGACCAGGGGTTTTTTTATCAGAGTAAATTACTCTGTTTCTCTGAAAATCAGAGTGGTTTTTAGGGGGTCACTCTGACGTGTCTGGGTAATTTTTTTGGAGGATAAGTTTTCTCTGATTTGTCAGGGTTCTGATTTTAGCTTCTCTGAGAGACCAGTGTATATTTGTGGCGGATGTACTTTTCTCTGTACAGGGTATAGGCATTTCGACCGACCCCCCCCGCCCCCCCGTCTCCCCCCCGATTGTTGGAAGATGGGCAGACTTAATAGAGTTATATAAATTCGTAATCGAACAGAATTGTGAGCGCGTAGCACAACGCTTAATCTTTTTGGTAGGAGTGCAGAAGGCCTGGGTTCAATACTTGAGAGGACACTCAGAGTTGGAAAAATAGGTACACTGGGTGCCCAGAGTATATTTTTCAGAAGTTAAGTTTTCTCTGACAAATCAGAGTAACGCTCATAATGAACCCTGAATTTCAGAGTTCTCTAGAAAACAGCTATGGAAATCCGAGTAGTGAAAATCCAAAAAAAAGCCCTGGTGTTGACGTAAAAATAACGAAAAAAAACGGGAGTGTGCAAAGTTGGACCCGCCATAACAGACACGAGTCCAAACAGACACGAGACACGAGACCAATCAGTCAGAAGACACGAGACCAATCAGACACAAGACACGAGACCAATCAGACACAAGACACGAGACCAATCAGACACGAGACACGAGACTGTTGCCACCAAACAGACTGCACGGAAGGAGACATCACGAATCGACGGGGGGGGGGGGCGGCGGGGGGGGGGGGGGGGGGGGGGGGGGGGGGGGGGGGGGGGGGGGGGGGAGGAGGAAGAGGAGGAGGGGGGGCTGTACGCTCTTCAGTGTAATCTTTGCTAAGGGAAAGGTACCCCAATGCATTACTGTGGCCTACAGCGTTACACGGACATATCAGTGTAATAGTAATATTCCAAAAAAAATACCCAAACACATCAGTGTAAGCCCAAAATTTCACCCTTCTAATCAGTGTGGAAGGGTAAATTACACTGATAACGAGAGCTTTGCTTGGGACGGTTTTGTCAGAATATATATTTGTATGTGTTGTTAGTTATACTAGGCTGTAGTGGGGCACTCCTTAGAGAGTACTGTCGAAATATATTTCTTATATAAACTGCTTGTAGCAGTGGTTAGTGTAGTGTACATTGGTGGTGCACCTCATTCCCTTGTCCCTTGCACTATATCTTGTATCTTGCTCATTAGTGAATCACCTTTCTCCTTTGCTCAACTATCTCGACACTCATGCTAGTACCTTTAACCCTAGCTACGGCTACAAAGTTCTAGTTACTGTTTTGACAGATACTCTAGTTTTAGGTTTTCTCCTTGTTCTTCTCAAAACTCATCATTCATCCCACCTTCCTCCTAAGACATAGTCACTTAGTCTACTATTCTAACAGGTTTATGGTGTCTTATAAGTCATATAAATGGACAAAGAACCGTTTAGAAGATACCCCCTCATTATACAACTACCCCTAACCCCTACACCAGGCCCTCAGATTCACTTTAAGGGACGTTGATGCATCAGGGTCCCTGTGAACAAAACCCTGATTTTCAGTGTTCCTAAAAAAAAAACCCTGAATTTTCAGGGTTCCTAAAAAACAAAGCCTGAATTTTCAAGCAAATGAAAACCTTGTATACAAGGGTAGGCTTTACGAAACATGACAGCGGAGGGATTCGAACCGGGCCCTTACCCATCTGCAGAAAATCACAAACCACTGAGACAGTTGATCCACTAAACCTTCAATCTCTTACGTTCTCGTACGTGAAAAATCAGAAAATGTTGGTTGACAGGAAGGATTCGGAATGTGCATTCAGTGTACACTTCGATAAAAGACTGAAAAATCAGTGTCAACTATGAAATAAAGGCTGAAAAATCAGTGTCACAAAATTCTCAACACTGAAAAATCAGTGTAGGTACAAAAAAATCCCTGAAAATCAGGAATTTCAGGAAAAAAATCCTGATATCGTAGGGCCTGCCCTACACTGGCTTAACTCGTGCACACAAATAGGTGTCTTATAATGAGGCTACCCCGTATAAGAGACACCCGGATAATAGACACCTCCTATCTTCTATTCAACACTGTCTTATATTCAGGTGATGCCGGTAGGTATCGGTAGCTATCTATTATATGCTGTCATGATTATCAATCTCCCATTTCAAATGAGGTGGTTGTACAACGGTGTACCGGTACCGGTAGTCCAATATTTTCTTGTAGCACCTCCATCCTTCGCACTTATCGAATGTGTACCTACATCAGCCCTCACGTACTAAATGACACGAGAGTCCCCACCTCGCCAAAACTCTACAGTACCGTTGGTCCATATAAATCTAATCCAAACGAGACATTCATCTGTTGACTTCGCTGCTGCACTCTGTCATGTCAGACGACCTACATAGGGGATCCCCCACCCCATTGATCGTAAGGGGATTACAAGCATGTTAGCTTAAGAGACATAAATGATACATTACTGTCACAGGAGTAGTTAAAAGGTAGGAGCCATAACTAGGGTTTAGCTAGCTAGGGAAGAGAAAAGTAGGCAAAGGAGGGTTTGACTAGAAAGGAGGGAGGTAAAAATAGCAAGCCCTAAAAGGGTTATACTCACTATTCAGTACCCCACTACAGACTAGACAATCATTATATTCTGACACACCCCCATAGTCAAAGTGGGGTATAGCAGTCACAGAGCAGGTTCACAAGCACAAGTAAACCTAGAGGCAGTTGCAGAGGGCAAGTGAGGAGGAGGAGTGACTGTGGGAGGAGAGGAGATGGGAGGCGATGGCGGAAGCTGCAGACACACGGCGCAACTGGAGCAACTGGCACACGGGCAACTGGAG